GGGCTTATGTAAGTCAATGGTGAAAGTCCTATTGATTTAATTGATGCAGGATCCAGCCTCCAGGATGTTAAAAACCTACATGATGCCAACATATTTTTATTAATGAAAAACCTCTCTTCCCATCTGCCACTTTAGCCTAGAAAGGCAGGATAGGACATGAAAAGGTGCAATGAAATTACTGCTCCAAATAAGGTTGGATTGCAGAAATAGAAGAATGGTGCAAAGCAGCCATGCTGAAAAGTGTCTCCCAGAAAAAAACTCTTGAGGGAAGAGCAGGGCTCACAGAAGCGTGCACAGTTTCAAGTGATGAAAATTGCTATCAGCCAGAGTTTCTATTCCAAATTCAACCTGGTGTTTAGGACTTTAATGGGAGGGGAAGAAAATTAAATTTAGAACAAAGGTGCAGAGTTCTGGCTTTTCCTCTGGCCCAGAATGGATTTATTCCAAGTACTGTAGGCCTGGAGGACGTGCATGTAGTATTCAGATGTCAGCCTGGTGCATTGGTCCAAAACAAAATACTTAAAAGGGCTTCAGAACCTTTCCTGAATCCTATTGTTACTAATAAATCTTCTCGGGTACAATTCAACTCCCCTCCCCCAAGTTCATTATTTGACACAGGAATTGAAATATCTTTTTAGCAGCTTCCTAATAGATTTGCCCTCAGGGGTGGGTAAATAGTTAGGGGATGCTGACAAGATGATAGAGTGAAGTTTTGGGCTAGAAATAACATGAGATGAAGCAGGAATTCTGATGATATTGCTGATTCTGTGACATGGAAAACTGGCCCTGATTAATATGGTGCTGCCATTGATGGATATCTAACAAAACCTCCACATTGTAATTGTGGTTTATATACAGAAGTCTCTTTAGCCCTAGGATTTAAAAATTCATCCAGCATCAAAAACCTGACATACTTGTAAATTACTATTCCCTACCCCATGTACGAATTGATCCAGTGAGTGCAGCAGGAGCCTAGGAGTCCTGACTCCAGTCCTAGGTTGTCTTGTGACTTAGGAAATTGAGGCACAAAAATGTTAAGCCTGCCAATCTGTAAAATCAGGATAATGCCTACATTTGAAAAGATCTTTGCAATTTTATAGCACCTTTAAGCAGATTATTATACATCAGATTATTATACATCTGTGTATTTTACAATTACTGCTTTAACATAGTTCAAAACACGCATGAATAACCCAGTACGTACCAGGTGATTGGAATTCAGCCTCTCTTAACCAGAGGGGGTGTGTGTGGAAAACAAACAAACCCCAACAACAAACACACAACTCTGCCACAACATTGCTTGCTCACTGTAGGTAAAGATCACCACTCAGCAATGGATAGATTCCTTGTTGGTGGGACCAGGCCTCTGTGTGGCCCAGAACTTTACTCTAATTTGCCAACACGTCTAATATTGGAACTTCCTTTAGAGAACAGGGAGATTCTCAATTTGCTTTTAACTGCAGGCATTATTGTTTTTATAGGTTTCTAGGGGATCAATATTTTCCATTAGCTTATATGTAATCACGTCCCATCACTTTTGGAGATCATTTTTCAAATGAAAAAACACTAGCATTAAGGGTGGGTGGGTGTTTAAATAACTGCTGCCAGATGCTGAGCTAATTTACACCAGTATAACTTTGGAGTATAGTACGTGCAGTTAATGGATTGTGGTTTTTTTTTTTTTTGTGGTGGGTTTTTTTTTTTTTTTGGTTTAAAGATATTCCTGGTTCTAGCCATATGCCCCATTATAAGGATAGGGAATATTGACCCAAGCTGGCTATATCTTCTCTCGACTGGTAAAAAGGTAAGAGTCTTAATTTGTGCCCACTGTATCGTCAGGGAAGGTACCTAAAAATTACACAGGTAAATGAGCTCAGAATTTGGTGGTACTTTTGTCCTAAAAATCATTAAATCTTATTCACCTGGTGACCATGCAAAATACACTCTTTCAGCATATTATATGGCCCAAAGTGTTTATAGTGCATATAAAATATACTAATGCTTAAATGCTGTATCCTCTAAGGAACAGTTAATAAGAATGCTAACAATGGAAAGCAAATAGCGATCAGCAACAAAAGATAACCACTCTCCATGGTTCACACTATTGTCTCTTACTGCAATAAGCACTTCTGGAGAGCTCCTATGTTGGGAGAATGAGTAATTTTCTTGAAAACTAGTTACTGATATTACCATTCTTTATTACTAGATATACTTGTAAAGCCTCAGATGGGCTTTTACTGGTGTATATGTCAATCACTCTATCCAGGAGCAGGTTTGAATTTTAATACAGCTTCCATGACAATATATCCAAAGCTAGTGTTAAATAGCTGGTTCCAGGTAAATTTGTTAGTCTCTAAGGTGCCACAAGGACTCCTCGTTGTTTTTGGTTCCAGGTAATTTCATACTGCAGTACTTAAATTGCAGTACTAACAAGTGCCACATGTATCTGAACACATGCACATTTTAAGAAAGACTATCCCAAGAGTAAATAGCTCAATCATTCTTTGCAGCTAATTGGCAAAAGGTAATATTGGGAACAGTTGTTATACCATACTTCCTGGTTCTTTATTTCCCCTGGAGTTAAATTTAAGTGCATGATTTCTTAAACTTGTCATGACTTTTACTTAATCTGCAAATAGCATTAGTGCCAACAGTTGGGAAGAGCAATTTAATGTTCTCATTGTTCATGCAGTATATTACAGTGGTATTTTACTACCTGTTGTTGTTACTGATTCCATTCATTATCTTATATTAGAAATAAATGTCATTTCTTTTCCCTAAGTGTACCCAGTTAAATACTACTGAATTAGACACCTAATGTAGGAATAACCATGGAACTTGGCTTTTATAATAGCATAGCTTTGATTTGTATAATGCCATTTCTCTCTGAGTAGCAGTGAGGGTAAGTAGGGCTAATACTGCAAACTGTGGAGTCTCTTCATCTTCCATTGAAGTCATTTGTACTTCAGAGACTGAGAAATCTGATCTACAGGGTTTAAGGTCTTAGCTACATGGGGAAGTTGCCTGGAATAGCTTGCGCAATGGACACTCCTATTCCACACTGAGACTACGCTTACCCTGCAGGGAAAAAAATGTTAGTGAAAATATATGGCAACTCAGATTTTAACTCTTGTTAGTAGTTGAAGTTCAGTCCCTGAACTGCTAGCCAAAGTTAAAAGCTGAGCTGTTGTTTTCACTGCCATTTCTTAAACCCCAGTTAGCAAACTCAAGTTAAGAACACACTTTTTCTGCCATGTAGACAAAGTGTCTAGATGCAGTTTAACTTAATCCACTTTTGGAAATGGATTAAGCTACAGTGCAAAAAAGGCAATCTTAGTGCAGAACGAGTATCATCATGGGAAGCTATTGTACTTTAAATTCCCATTCAGCCTATTTCACAATAGCTTCTCTATGTAGATGAACTCTATGTGACTTGACCAGGGTAAAAGTGTAAGACAGTAACAGAATCCAGGTCTCCTGATTCTTGGTCCAGTGCTCTGTCCCATGCTGCTGCTTTCCTCCATCCCTGCTGATGTTACAATTGATGGAACACAAACCCATGGCTGGATAGTATTATCTGAAGCACCAAGCTTAACCTAGCATGCAATTGTTCTGTGTAAAATCTGGAATGGAGTCTTTGGGAATGGTCTCGTCTTTGGCTCAGGAGGCTCTGGGTTAGATTCCTGAAGGAGTTTACGTGTTAAAGTTAGGATGCTGGTGCCTAGAAAATCACTGAGATTTAGAAAGCCTAAATTAGGCACTCAGGCTCCTTATAGAGTGAATAAGACAGACCTCTAAAATGGGATTCACAAAAGCCAGGACATTAGGCAGCTCCCTGCCTAAGGTAGCCAGTGGGAGATACTGAGGGGAGGGATGTGTCCTAAGCCTGACCCCTCTCAGGGAGTATAGCACCTAATCTACACTTGTGGGAGATGTGTATCTCTGCTTGGGATTCTCAGCTGTTACACTTCTAAGTTAGGTGCCTATGTACTTTTTTGCAAGAGGGTGGGGGACCTCCTTCCCTCTTTTTAGCCCTGGGGTTAGGAATCTCATCTGGGATGTGGGAGCCCCTGCTTCAAGTCCTTTCCAATGCCTGAGGAAGAAAAAGATCCCTGTTCAAACCCTGCTGCCTCCTTGGGCAGATGAAGTGGGGTTGTGTTATTACTAGGGGCGCCTGATCTTGGGACTTAAGCATCCAATTCTTTTTATGGATCTAGCCATCTGATTCTAGGACACTGCATTTAATAATGAATGTTGTACTACTTATGAAGCATTATTTAAAAATACACCTCTACCCCGATATAACGCTGTCCTCGGGAGCCAAAAAATCTTACCACGTTCTAGGTGAAACTGCGTTATATTCAACTTGCTCTGATCCACCGGAGTGTGCAGCCCCCCCTCCCCCTGAGCGCTGCTTTACCGTGTTATATCGGGGTAGAGGTGTAATTGAGTCAAATACTGCACCCTGAGTTTATAGGCAAAGGTTGCAAGTAAGTGTGAGATTTCACTGGAGTTACTCCCAATGTATAGCAGTATAAGGGAAACAGACTTAGGATCTAGGTTTTTCTAATGTTGTGTGATAAATTTAATTCAACACTGTGCCAGGACAGAATATTTAGCATAGTTCCTCAGTGTGCCCTGAAGAACCTAGTTAGTATCCAGCCAGGGAAGAAGGCACCTACACTGACTGCTGTTTCTGCCCTTCATTAGTGACACCATCCAACTATGCAGTTAGGCAGGTGTTCTCTTTAAAATACATGTACAATTCAAGACCCCACCCCAAAATAAGCTTTATTGCAAGAAAAGTGTTGTCATAGTGATACAGACCTACAAATAAAAAAAAAAGCTCACAAACAGTTGATTTAAAATGTAGAAGGGTTCTCTTCCCCAAAAACTCAGAGTGTAACTTGTAACTAATCTTTGGTCAGCACAGCTACATGACTGAAATAAACCTGGAGTCTGTATGTGCTTTGGCTGTTCACATAATGAGGTTCTGTTCCATGACGAGTTACAGGCACCAGCTGTCACAAAAAAAAAAAAGCACCATGGCGACATACATGTAACACAGAATGGTACAACATTAAAAAAAAATTGCTAAAGAAAACTAAATGTCATGTACAAACATCTTTCTTACAAAATAGGCTAGGATAAAATGAGGCATATGGTGTATAACTACAGTATTAATGAAAGTTCTAAAAACATGATTTCAAATATATTTTCCTGGTCTGCACTGCGTAATTAGTTTGCACATATGGCAGTCCTGAAACAGCTCAATCCTAGTAAATGCACCATTAATCCAAGCCAGCACCAAACAGAGTGAAACATCAGGTGTTCCCTTCAAAGGAAAGACTTTTTTTTTCTTCAGCTGCCTACAGTAATGCAAGTATGTAGAGCACCTTTTGTGAGAATGAGGTGTTGTGGTAGCACATGTGGTACCTTGAGGTTATCGGAAGGAAATACAGTACAGGTTGGCCTGCAATGGTAATGGTATCACAAGCAGTCAAGGTATTTTGCTACAGTGGTTGTGCCTCAGCTTCCATTATTTCAGGTGGCTGATACAGAATATAGTCCTAGTGACCGGCAGTGAAATATGATCATCTTTACAGAGCCTAATATTGTAATTCTAGTCATTTAAAACTTTTTTTGAATACTCAATGTTTTTGAAGCGTACTTTTCAATGTCTTTTAGAGGATGGTATCAGAGCTGGTAATAGCATGCAAATGTTTTTTAAAAAGTATTTGGACAACTGGCATACAAAAGGAAACCTTTTTCAAATCTACTGGATTTTTTTTTAAGAATACCTCTAAAATAGCTCAAATTTATATATCTAAAGAAAAACAAATGTTTCCCTTTTGTTTACATAGTTTGTAATTTCTCCATATATTACTGCATTAAAATAAATAAACATCTATATTTTTTTAATTAGCACCTATAGCAAAATACCCAAAGTGTTACAGACTGCTAACAGGAAAAAATTGTTCACATTTTTGTGCCATTTAGTGCCATGTGTTGACCTCTTGAACTTTAGTTTTAATATACTTTAAATTGAGGTTATATAAAGGATACAGTAACCATGGTTGCCCTTGTAATCAAACTTTTGACCATGGCAGAGTCAGTCATTCCTCCTGCCAGGGTCATTCTGCAGTCTTGGCAGGATGGAAAGATAAGTCTTTTTTTTTTTCTTCTTCTAAGTCATTGACTCCTTAAAGCTTTTGAAAAGTAGACATGCTCAGGTGGATAAATAGATGAACAGAAGTGATTCAAGAACTGGATTAAGTCTAGAAGAGGTGGCTAATAGAGTTCAATCCACAATCTCATTCTGAGCACTTCTCCAAGCTCTCCTAGGAGGTAGTTGTCCACATTACTATCTTCCAGTTTCTTTAGCTCCTTCTTCTTGTATAGAGGAATGCTAGTGATTTCCAGTGTGTAAGTGCCAGGCACTGACTTTTTCTTAGCTGTGTGCAGATAACTAAGTCCATCCCTCTGATGGATTTGAAAGATGCCATAGTCATTGCCGTGGGAGATGACATAGCGGACATGGTTCGTAAGGGGCTGTATGGCTGGCATGAATTCTAGAATGTGTTCTTTGTTACCAAGTCCAGAGAAGTTCAGCCTCATCTTCAAAGGAGAGTCAATGTCTAAGCTTTCCAAGCTAATCTGCTCAATCTGAAGTGAAAGAGAAGGAAAGGATAGTTGGAGAGAGACACACGCTCTATATTATTCCTAAAGCAATGCAAGTTAGTGACTTTGATTAGTAACAGTTTAATTCCTCTCTCAAAAACTGCAGCTGTGAAAGAAGCCATTTATAAATCCTTTCCAGCTGGGAGATCTACTCAGTTCCACATAACACACCCTGTAAATCTTTAAGGCTTCTCACACGGTGCTGTAACTTTAATTATTCTGTAAAACCCAAGTCCACAAAAGGTTCAGTTTTCACTCTTGCCTCAGAGTTGACATAATTTCATGCTTGCTCCAAAAAAAGTACTGGTTTAACTCTGCAGAAAAGAAACAAGAAGTATCCCACTTTCCAACCTGTTCTAAATACCTCATCATACTTCCATATGAAAGATTATGGAACCCTGAACCGCTATACTGGAAGTTCTTTGAAGAATGTTTTCTGTATAGAAGCTTCAGTGAGAGTCTACATCCCGGCATTATGAGAAACTACGTTCAGCAGCTGACAGTGATAAGAGCAGTGAAAAAAAATCTGCACTACTAGCAAACTGATCTTCCCAAAGGGGGAAATTTTTGCTTTGATGTAACACAAATGGAGTTAGTACAGGCATGAATTTGTCCCAGTGTGTTTGATATGAATACATATAAGGGGGAAAAAAAGATAAATTAATCTAATAGCTTTGTTATAACAAAAGGCAGGTGGTTGTAGGTGAAAACTGTTCTTCATCTAATGAAAGAGCTATGAAAGGCTGCGACTTCTTTGGGAAGCCTTTTCCTTGCTTCTCTCTTTTTGATAGATCTTTACTTCTCAGGAAATGACTGGGTTACCATTGTTCTCACTCTGCTGCACTGCAGAACTTTACCAGTTCAAGTCCTTCTGCATCTATAACTGGGGACAGGATGCACTCAAAAAGGGTCAAATCCTATTACACTACATACCATTATGCACTGTAGATTAAATCTGTGGTTAAGTAAAGCAAATTGAGGGTGGCTGCAGGTGCTGCGACAAGGTGTTCACTGAACCTCGGGCATGCTGCTAGCCAACAGGACCCAGACGATCCCAACTTAGATTTTGTTTAAACAATAACAAAAAACCCAAACTCTGTTTGCTGTGAAAATTCCAAAGTGAAATTAGGGGATTTCACATAAGGCTAATAGCACCAGATAACAATATGGTTTACTGCCATGTGAGAGCTATAGTAACGAGACTAGGGTACAGTGAACTAGATAGAAAAATTAATGCTGTATGAGGGAATTTTTTACTTTATTTGGAAGGTGCTTGTATGTTCCACTGCCATGAATGGAACATAAATAACTGGATAGCTTGGTAACAAGATGAACACACTAGATAGGAGTGAAGTAATGACCTAGGGGTACCATACTGTCACCAGGTAACTGTTTGTACATCATCAGAAGTATCAAGTGTAAGAAACCACTTTTCTCTTACAATGGTTAATGTGGCTAACTATCCCCTCCCCCAGATATAAATGAGGAAATTCATTCTCCTCTTTCTGCCACTATTTCATGGGACGCCTTAGCAATAACATGCTTTATATTAGACGTGCACAAAAGGCTCTTCTCTTCGCCGAGATATTTAGATAAAGTTCAGATGTTTTCATTCCACATTCTACTTTCTGGTCACTATGCCAAGTCCACACACAACCCCTTGTAAGGCAGGGATGGCAGCACTAACAAGCTCTTCAGAAACTGCCATCAAAGCTAATCCATGGATCAACATTGGAACAATGCTCTAGAATGCTATGCAACAGCCTTCCTCTCCGGAAGTGGTGGAGGCCACTTCCATGCTATGACCAACCTTTTGTGGACCAGAGAGTGGAAATGCTAACTCCTTGTGTCAGGGTGGTGGTCTGGCTGAGGAGCGCCACAGTTTGCTTATGTAAGAAACTTAGTCACTACTACCATATGTAAATCTAGCAGTAAAAACTTACTGTAATTGTCCATAATGCTTTTCATCTTCAATCAGAGCCCTTGTAAAAACTATGAGAAGATTTATATCTCTTGGTTGCTGTTTTTTTTTTTTTTTTTTTTTAAACCAAATCAATAGTTTCTCATTACTGCAGCTTTCAGCAGTTGGATTACTGCCATAAAACAACATCCTGTAATGCAGATAACCACTGATTTTCTGCATGATGCTGTAAGGGGTAGGGGGAAGCTCTTGAGCGGTACACACTGCAACGGGCAGTCTGTCTCCCAAACTGGCGCTATGTAACCTAACAGATGTGCTTTTGCCCTAAGGCTTCTTGGTACCTCAATAAAAATTGAAAACAACAAGGAGACATGCCCAAAATGCATCCTAAGGTGGGAGTCAACCACTGATCCCCATCTCCATTTGTCAGAAATACACTAAGGAAAGTCTTGAGCCTGATCCAGAAGTATGGTTCTGTGATATTGGCAATTACATCACAATATGATTAATTTACCCTTAAACACATATACAAATAGCTCAGGTTTAGAAGCTAATCATCATCTTGTAAAAACTCGATGGCCACATAAGCCCGCACTGTTGTGACTACAGAATGCTGTACAAGATAGTCATCTGGAACTTCAAAATGACTATGGTGATAGAACTTTACTCCTCCTTGTGTCAGCTGTGTAGTGTTTGACATACCATGGAGTAGTTCTGATTCCAGGACTGTTAAGTATACATATTAGCTAGTTTGTTACGGTATTCACTCACCTCTGCTTGCTCAGTTTCATTCACACTTCTTTTTTTCCTGCTGTTTTTATTGGCGTAGCCATTGATTTTGCATTCATAACATGCTTCAGGGGACAAAGCATTTTCTTCATCTACATCTCCACCCAGAGGGAGGTACTGGCCTTTGTTAAATCCCATTCCTGAGACACAATGGCTGTTGAATAGGGATGATCATATGAGTGACCCATTTCTCAAAATGTTCATAGACAGATAACATTTTTCTTTTCACTTCAGTTTTATGTCCTCATTTAGATGGACGTAAGCCCACATAACCCCTTACACTGTTACATAATATCTCCATTTCCCCCCAAGATGTCTGTGGAATAATATTTTAAAATTTGTCCTGTATAGTGTAACATGCTCAACAAAGGATGGTTATAGAGCACCCTAATTCTCAAAACACAGAACACTAATACATTACAAAGAATATATCTCCAACGGGACATTTGGCATCCAAAGTAAATGTTCTGACTATTTCAGGCCAATGGGCTATTATATTCAGTTTGAATTATTCATTCTCTCTTTTTTCTGCTTTGTCTTTGGGTTGATCAGTGCAATAGAAATTCCTTACTAATCATTGTAAAGATGTTACTTCAAAGGAAAAGTACAGTTAGATGAGGAATATCCTCGTACCATTTGGGAAAGTGCTCCAAATACACAATGTACTGCCATCAAAAGGGGAAATCACAGCTATTACTTAATTTTGCTCATATGCTAGATGTAAATGATGCTCTTTTGCAGTGAACACACACAAACCAATACTTTGTTTCCTATGTACCACAGATATATAAGGGCAATTCCTTGTTCTTATGCACAACCTAAGTACATGGGTGGTACACAGAAGAACTATGCAGATAGGCTTGGAATTCTTTCCCTAACCCAGAGGCAAGGCACATAGCACTGGTGCAGTGTCTCTTCAGTGACTTCTGCAGCACCTATGGCCTGCTACATGACCCTGCAAGGCAGGTCAGGCCAGTGGATCTGCATGGCTCCAAATGAACTGGCCTTGCTCCATTTCCTGGCTTGTCTTTGCCTCCACTTTCTTCAGGCCTACTGTAGAGACTGCCATAAGGTTGTATGGACCGTAGCATGCAGAGGTGTTGGAGGCCCTGTTTGCTCCTGCACTAGTTCTGTTGCCAACTGAGTTTTCTGCAGCTCTTGCTTTGGTAGCTCTTGCTTTTTTATGGTGGCCACTTATTACAATGCGTTATACAATCATCATAAGTGTTATGAAGGAAGAGTGTTTGTGAGAGGGAGAAAGAGACTCACCCTTGTCCAACTCTGTAGTATCCAGGAGGGCAGCCACAGAGATAACCACCTTCTGTGTTGGAACAGCCGTAATTGCAGGGGTTTTTAGTGGAGGAACACTCATTCACATCATGGCACGCACTAGAGAACTGGTCATAAGAAAATCCAGATGGACAAGCGCACTTGTAACTTCCAAGTGTGTTGTAGCAGGAAGCAGTGCCACAAGCATTAGGGTTGGTACATTCATTTTCATCTAATAAGCAAAATAAAAGATTGTTTATCCAGATGAGAAGATACCATCGTGGCAGGTTGTAGTCATAAACAGCTTATGATTTCCAGGGAGGGAAAAATATTTATTGCTAGAATTTTTAGTGCCTCACACAGGGCCTGGGCATGTACCAGATGTAGTCCTTCCCAATTTACAACTCTGACTACAAATGCAAGCTGTAAGCCTCCCCTCTCCCCCTGACATTCAACTTAGCCGAGGCTCAGCCTCCCTCATAGAAATTGCTACACCACTGGTCCATCTAGTCTATATTCTCTTTCTGACAAGAGCTAGGTTTCAAATGCTTCAGAGGCCCTCAACTCTGTATTTTGGAAGTAATAAACTCAAATTTCCACTGAGATGTTTTCAGCCAGTTCAGGATCATGTTCTTTGCTGTTCTTTTTCTTTTCCCAGTAACACCACAATTTCCCCAGGGTACTATTAGGTGAGGATAAATCTGCAGTGGAGAAGAGTATTTTTGTGGCTTTCCCGCCTTAAAATAAAGGCATTTGAGTTCATGCAAAGACTAAGTGCTTCACCCATAATTCTATTGCAGGACCTGGATGATCTTAACTATTTTACTCTGGAGGGGGTGGGGGATTTAGAATATTCTAAAAGAAACCAGTGCTTCTCTCACACACAGTATTAATGGGATGGCTGTTTGGGCATGGTTATAGAGCTCCCTAATTCTCAAAACACAAGGCCATCTTTGCTCTTTCCTCACTGAGAGTGTGATACGTTGGTAGGGCAAGCTTCACTAAACATGACTCTAGAATCCTTGTTCACAATTTACTTTGTATCTCACTGGAGAGAAATTAGGTGAAACCAGAATCCTGCATGAACAAGTTAAAAGTATGTATACAGATATACTATATCTCTGTTCATTAAAATATCCTAAACAGCACATGGTTTTAAAAATGCTTCAAAAAATTACATTTGGCACAAGTTTATTGGGTATTTTATTGCTATGTTTAGCAGAGCTGGAATATTGCCAACAAAAGCACATTTGGTAGATTTGTAACCAGGTTGTGTTGTTCTGATATAATTAGATCTGACATTTATATGTGGAATGTCTTTCCTAATTGGGAAACCAAATCAGATATACAGCAACAAAATGAACAAGGGTGAAAAAGCTGTTTTTATAACAAAGTAAGAATTTCTCCATGTCTGTGCAGCTGTGGTATGCAGACAAATTACCATGTAATAGAAGTTAATCTTATCGTTTACATTGAGGTGCACCACATGAAGTGATTCCATAGAAAAATAATTTTTGAAATTGCAGTGCGTAGGAATAATACTTGAAGTAATACTTAGAAGATTGTTTTAAACATCGTCATGAATTTAGCACTTTTTTGAGCCTTCACTTCCCTCTGATATATCCTGTTGTAGATCTATATTAGGTCATTTTAAAGCATATGATGATATGACTCTTTACCATAGTTGAGAGTCTCATTAAATTTTTAAACTGAATTTTCAAACTATTACCACAATAACTGTAGTCAAATCATGATAGACTCAAAATGTCCACTGGAGAGACAAACATGCTCTACAAAAAGCAGCAGCAGAGCAATGGAAATGATTCAATTCTTTGTAAATCCCGCCCCCATCCCCACAAAAAAAAATTGACAAGGTCCCTTAAGCTCTAAACTTTTTGAACCTAACTGGTTTCACATATGAATGGAGTGTTCATGAATAGCTAGAGACTATAAATACATCAAGTGAGTGAACTTTTATTAGGTTTCCCCACTTTATTAGGTTCTCTACTCCCTTTTAGGATGTTAAATAACTCCTCACCAGATACTGAAAGTTTCTCAGAGCTCTTTCAAATGGTATCTAGAGAACTCATTTCCAGATCCTATTGCATTCTCTTGAACTGAACATTGTTGCTGTCCCATTTCTTTACACTCTTCTTGCTGTTCTGATGTCTGGCTTTGCAAAATTGAAGTTTCTGGTATTTTAAAAATCATTTTTGGTGTCATTTGAACACTAGTTTTTAAATTTCCCATTTCTTCCTATAATGCATATCCATTTTTGTAATTTATAAAAACAATGTGAAATATTTATCAATCCTCCAGTTTCCTATTTTCATGCTATTTGATTCTTTTATCTACAATATACAGTAAAAGCTGTTTTATCTGGCATGTTGGAGAATGGGGGGGTGCTGGTAAATGAAAAATGCCAGTTAACTAAGAGGGAGGGAGGGGGGTGCAGGGCTGGGGATTGGGGTGTGGAGTGCAGGCTTGGGGAGGGAGTTTGGGTGCAGGAGGAGGCTTGGGGCAGGGGTTTGGGGTGCGGGAGGAGTTGAGGGTTGCCAGATTCGGGAGGCGCTCACCTGAGGTGGTTCCCTGGCTGCTCCCTGGTGCACAGCAGGTGGCTCTGTGCGCTGCCTACTGCCCCTGCAGCTCCCATTGGCCCCGGTTCCCAGCCACTGGGAGCTGCGGCGGCAACACTTGGGGCGAGGCTCCGCACTCCACCCCCGCACTCCCTCCTGCACGCAAACTCCCTCCCTCTTACTTAACTGGCAACCGGCCTATAAACTGGAATTTCAATGAAGATCAGAAATGCTGGTTTATAGAGCTTTCTGGCTGGTGAAGTGCCGGATAAAACACCTTTTATTGTAAAAATGTAAACTTTTATTATAAGTGGATACCTTAAAACTACTCTCAAAACTAGCAATCTGATCAATATAAGCATTTCTGAGATCCTTTTTATCCTTTAAATTAAATGCGGTATACTTTATGCATCTTTGGTTCTTTAAAAAGTGAATTGTGTGCAACTATTGGCCTGACAGTCCTGGATGCTAATATCCTCTGTTTCTTATGAGAACAGATATAGAATGGGCTGTGGAATATGAACCAAAATACTTCAAATGGCTAGAATAACTGCCTCTTTAGTCATTCACATTCAGTTCTTGACTTCTCTACTAGACTGAAAACACCAACTCATTCCCTATACCACAGATTAGTGGTTTTCAAACTGTGGTCTGCGGTACCCCTGGGGGTCTGCAGACTACATCTAAGAAGGGATCCATACCTTCATTCGAAATATTTTAGGGATCCGCAAATGAAAAAAGGTTGAAAACCACTGCCATAGATTACCAAACAAACAGATGCCAAATGGTAAACCTTATGGAAATATCATATAGAATTGCTTATTAGTTTTCTATAGGTCTTTTTGTAACTATCTGGTATAATTTTCTTTTGACATGTAGCTCTGGCATAATTTTTTTTTATCCCTGCTACAGGATGGTTTTTAAAAAAGCACAGAGAGAGGTGACATTTGTACTCATTTCTGTAGATTGCTATAGAATTTACATTAAGCCATATTGCTTTCATCCATCCATTCCAGATAGGATTTTTACATAAGGAAAAATCTCTTGCTCATTATAAACCTTGGGATAGATATGAATCTGTGATTTAGAAGTAAAGTTATATTCTTATGATGTTATGTAATTTCATCCTTCCCCACTTTTAAAAAACAGTTTTTCTCCCAAAAATATTGAGTGGGCACTGCTGACCTTACATTTGATCATCTTTCCTTCCCTTCTTGCCCTTAAAAGATATATGGATCACATCATCTATTTGTCTTTGTATTTGAAAAACGTGGTGTTCTATTATGTTTTTATTGTATTCTTGCTAATTCTGTTTTACAGAATCCTGAGTGCGTGGGGGAGAAATCCTTATAGTTAACCTTTTGTCTTTATTTAATTTCATTTGCTTCTATTGCTGCTGTATATATCAATTGAAAGGTTTGTACATTTGTGGTTATCTGTGTCTATTAAGTCAATAGCTGTAAAGCGCTGAAGTGCTAACTATATCTTAGCAAGGGCTTTACAGGCCTTCCGTGGAAATTATCTTGAATTTCCATGTCTTTTCCTCCCATTGCAAAGCAGTAACAGTCAGCTGACATGATTTTATGTAACTATACCCCTTTCAACTGCATAAGTCAGAGAAGGGCTACACAAGTTTAATGAAGTGAAGTAGGTACCGCTGAACCTAAAAGATGTTCATAGGGTTTCTGAAAATCGGAGCATTTTGTCATTGTTATGTAACTTCTGGACTACTGCATCGAAAGGAGATTATTCTTACCAACACACTGATTCCACTGATAATGTTGAATGTACCCTTGTGGGCACCCACATCTGTAGCCACCCAGGATGTTCTGGCAGCCATGTTGGCACCTATGGTTTCCATCACATTCATTCACATCTGCCAAAAAAACAACAAAATGTGGAAGAAGCGATGGTTGCACAAACTGCAGACAAGTAAGCAAACCAACCCCACCATCACACGCAACTTACTTCAATAACTGTAATTAAAGGACCATACTTTATCCATAGAAGATTTTTCACCCAAGCTTGATGCTGCAGCCGTAATTTGGCTCCTTACACACACTAGTAAGTTCAGATGAAGCTTATGGAAATATTTGCTTTAGTAAGAGTTGCAAGACTGGGCCCATACACGGTAACTGCACATGGTGTATTTGGTAAATATTGGATACGTGCATAGGACCTGACCCTGCAAAGTGCTGAGTGTTTCCTGGGAGGCCGGTGTTCAGACCTACCAGGACTGGGTTCTATAGGGCACAATCCCCATGTTTTCTTTAAGATTTGTTACTTCAGTAACTATGTTTCTTAAGATAACTATTACATCCATTAAGTGTGATTATCAAGTTATGTAATTGCTGTATAAACTATCCAGCGGCTTGAAAAACATTGAATGCGCATAGGACAAACTGCAGGGTTTTCAATGTGCCATGGAGTCCAGGAGCTCCATAAAATTTTGAGAAGTGCTTACATGATTTAGGAGTCTAAGTCCCATTTTTCAAAAGTGAGTCAGGCACATAGGCTCTTAAGTCACTTGGGTGGTTTTTGGAAATGTTACCCTTATGACCATTGTGTGCATCTGGGGTGCAAATCCAGATTTTTTTTTTTTTTCAGCTTTCATTAGGAGCTTCTTGCCTATGTTCCAATATGCTGTCTGAATTGAAAGCAAAGCCTTTGAACATAGTAATGCATCTGGGATGTTTTGCTTCAATAGAGGGGAACCTACAAATGGCAGTTGTGAGGGAAGTGTGCAGGAATTTGCAGGACTGCTATGCAGACTTCCACAAACGCTGTAGAACTCTTAAACTATAGCACAATAATTGTATATCTAGAATCATTAAATAATATTATCAGAACTTCCTCCAGAATTGGGACAAGACTTTTCTAGACTGCCAGTCACAAGAGGGATTCTTAGTTTTTCGTTATGGTTTCTGGAACACCCGTGTCCATTTAGATTTCTAAGTTTAAAGTACAAATCTTTGGGCATACATCTAGTTTCCAATAACTAGCTTTGCAAGGACTTTTGTTGTTGTTGTTGCTAGTTTGAAAGGCACTGAGAAATACAAACATGTAAGATAAGGACAGAAGTGGTCTAATTTGTCTACCTATACCCAGTAAGGAAAGCCAAATTAAAAGGTTCCCGGGCTATGTGCGAAGAAAGGTGAAGGGGACGGCCATAAGGGAAAAGAGAAGGCAAGAAAACACTTCTGTATTAAAGTCTCCTATTTTAAAAAAATATGTATATTCATTAAAAGTTTCACCTAACAGCAAGTTGTAAGCAGCCTAACAAATGTCAGGGAAAGCATACTGTGTTCACTAGACTATCAAACTCCCAACTAGATTTCTCTGTCTTGTCATTAGAAATGTAATTTACTACACGTGATCTCCAAAAATTTGAGGCAGACTTGCAGTGCTCAAAACTCAAATATTGTTTGTGGTGATTGAACTGCAGTCTTTTTTAATTGCTCTAGCTTTTGTGTATTTACCTTGTAATTGTGTAGTATTTACACTGTAAAACCCCCACCCTTGTGTAAATAAATGGCTAGCATCATATTCACTACGAGCAAAAAAGAGCACTCGCATGATATTTATCTTGTAGAAAAAAGGGGTGAAACATTAGTTTAGAACACCTTAACATGTTTATGTAAGACTCCGACTCTTCCTATTCCGGACATTTATAAACAGTGACTGGGAAAACACTTTTCATCATATTCTAAAAAGTTTTATTGTCACATATTTCAAACTAAAACCCTACCCCAGGGGCCATGCATATTCCAAGATTCCTGTGGAAAAGTGCTTCAAAATCCCAACTTTCATATAAAATAGAATGTTTCTAGTGCTTATGGTTGTGACAATTATAATCTGTTCAATTTTTTTAAGATTAACTGATGCAGTGTCGCCTGCAGAGAGCCTAAAATAATAGCATTGGAATTTGGCATTTTTTCAAGACGCCAGAGAGTTCAGCATGTCTGCCGTGGAACTTTTCACTTTGCTGTCTTGTGCTGCCCTGTTGGGATCTGGCTGCAGCTGCCACCTATGCTCTAATTTTCCTACAAAGGAACTGGTTTTCAGTTAGAGCTTGTCAGGAAATTGTTTTCCCATTTGGAATTGGGACGGCAAGTTGAAATACCATATTTTTGTGAACAGAAAATTGGAAAAAATGTTGGTTTGGGTCAACTGAAACTTCGAATTTAAATCATTTACAAAAATTACTCTAATTTGTGTAAATTTTGTCTTGAAACAGAAAACAGAAAATTTTCCATTTAAAAATGTCAAAATGTGGTGTTTTGACAATTTCCAAACTGAACATTTGTTTGAGTTGCGAAATTGAAACCAAAATGTTCCTGTTAAATATTTTCACTGCTCCATGGAGCCAGAACTGGAGTCCAGCTGCTCCCAGGAGTGTAGGCAAGCAGTTAGGCTGCTTGAAAAAAAATGTGCAATAACCGAGGAAATAAATTGCTCCCCACTTCCTTGGTGCACATGAGAAGAGGGCCTGGGAAGCTGTTTCTGAGCGGGGCAGCGATCGATCCAATGGGAGTCTATTTATCGCATCTAGTCTAGATGCGATAAATTGACCGCTGAACGCTCTCCCAGCGACTCCAGTACTCCACCGGAGTGAGAGGCGCATGCGGAGTCAACGGGGGAGTGTCAGCAGTCGACTCACCGCAGTGAGTAGATAGATCTAAGTACATTATTCACGTAGCTGAAGTTGTGTAACTTAGATAGATTCCCCTCCCCCCCCCCCGTGTAGACCAGACCTTAGCTTTAGAAATAATAGTCATACATGTCTTTTTTGAGTATTTTCAGTGATGAGATAGACTGGGTGTGTTTGCAGGTTGCGGGGGGGGGGGGCAGGAATGAAGGGTATTTTATGGAGATAGTATGCATTACTGTTGCAATGGAATGTGGGGGCTACAGCTGGACACGTGTCTATGTGGACACGAGAACGAATGGATATAAACTGGCTGTGGGGAAGTTTAGGCTTGAAATTAGACGAAGGTTTCTAACCGTCAGAGGGGTGAAATTTTGGAACAGCCTTCCGAGGGAAACGGTGGGGGCGAAAGACCTCTCTGGCTTCAAGATTAGGCTAGATAAGTTTATGGAGGGAATGGTTTGATGGGATAACGTGATTTTAGTCAATTAGGCAATAACGTGCCATCGCTGGTAAAATGTGGGTCCGGCTGGAGAATCTTGACTGTATGCTCGGGGTTCTACTGATCGCCATATTTGAGGTCGGGAAGGAATTTTCCTCCAGGGTAGATTGGCAGAGGCCCTGGAGGTTTTTTGCCTTCCTCCGCAGCATAGGGCAGGGGTCGCAAGCTGGAGGATTCTCTGCGACTTGAAGTCTTTAAATCACGATCTGGAGACTTCAACAGCTGAGATAAGGGAAATTGGGTGGGTCAGCTTTTGTGGCCTGCATCATGGGGGAGGTCAGACTAGATGACCATAATGGTCCCTTCTGACCTTAAAGTCTATGAGTTAGTGCCTGTTGCGCTGCAGAGTACTCAGCGTTCTGCTTATGATACTACTTGCAAATTGAACTGTGAGTATGTACAACAAAACAGTAGGATAAGCAAATTGTCGATACAAATTTTCTGAACTACATTCCTGTTTTGTTTTTTTTTCATATGTCTACTCTAAGGCTAACGGCCTGATGCTACAACTCATGCAAATACTCCATTTGACCTCAGTACGACTACTCACGTAAGAAAGAACTGCAGATTTCTGCCTTAGCAGAGAAGGTATGGCCTTCAAAATTTACCTTCACAGTTTAATCCAGTAGAATCCAGAGAGAAGCCTCTCTGACACTCACAGCTGAAACTTCCAGGAGTGTTTTGACAGATTCCTTTTGATCCACAAAGTGATGGCTGTGAACCACACTCATTGTTATCTAGAAAAAAAATGCAGTGATTAAAAAAAATACGTGTACAGGAGAAGAAAGAAAGTACATAAGGGATGGGATTAAGAGGTTACACATACAGAGTAGTTTGCACCTACTAAACTTGCAAGTCTAATTACTTAATTTGCAGATTTAGAGCCATAAGTACTTAAATATTTGTGCTTGTACTGTGATTCAGTCTCTGGTGCAAAATACAGGTACAGACTGGGTGAGGAAAAAGGAGGATGGTCTTTTGAACATTTGGCCCACTGTACACTACAGATGAGGATGGCTTTAATTGGTAAGACATATATGCAAAATTTTTTGAAAGACATCTGTAGCTATCAAGGGAAAGAAAAATATCTTTAATCTGTTTTTGATTGCTTTTTTTTTTAAGTCAGATTTTAATATTTTACCTCTGTCTCTATGTGGTTACATTTAGAAACTACCTACAAATAGTCACTACAAAAATGCTTATTGTAGATGAGCTTCAGATATTTTTGCTTTTCATAATTATCTGCCTTTTTGAACTACTGAGAAATAAAATACTCTCCATCTGTGTATTAATATTAAATCTGTGGTACAAAATAAATAGATCAAAAGGCTCATATTAAGTATTGCCCTTGTTTTTATAACAAAGAGAAATGTACAAAAACTTTGTGTTGAAGTGTTCTTACCAATACAAGCAGTATGATGTTGAGTGAAGCCTGGTGGACATTTACATGTGAAGCCCCCAAGAGTGTTGACACAGAGGAATTGGCAGTTGTGTTGTTTGGTTTGACATTCATCGAGATCTGAAAGTAGCAGATTTATCTTAGTAAGACTCAGTGAAAAAGATTTAACCATATTTGTTCTCTTTAAAAAGATCATTTGAAAGTACTTCCTTTTTAACTTAATAATAATTTTTTTTATCACTTGAAGCTTAAATCTGTATTCATCAGGGAAGTACATGCTGGAGCAAGTTAAATAGTGTTATCCCTGATTCTCTACTCTTATTTACACCAGCATAAAAATTGGTGTTAATACAACTTGAAGTTAACAAAGTTACACATGTAGAACTAGTGTAATGGAGTGGCAAATCAGGCCTCTTAGCCACTGTAGTGAGGCCGACTGGCCTCCCTCCGAGCAGCAGAGCAAGGGACGATTACACTCCCTTTGGAGGTTGAAGCCTAGATCGCCCCCCCCCCCCCCCCCCCCAGAAGTATAAAAGGCAGGCCTTGCAGCACAGTTGGGGCAGAGCCTGCGGAGGAGGACGACGCTCCACCCATTCCGCTGCGGCCCAGAGGGGACCTATGCCTGCCTGTTCCCGATCCTCAGAAGCCGACGAGGACTGTTCCAGAGTGCCTGCTGCCGTGTACCTGGAGGAGCCAGAGGAGGCCTTGAGGCTAGAGGTACAAACCCCGGGGAGGCAGGAAGTGGCTCAGGGACAGCCACGGAGCAGCCAGCTGCAGAGCCAAGCATGGCTCCGTCGGCGTGTTGCGGCTGCATCCCCGCCGACGCTGGGGCAGCCAATCCTGCCTCTGCCAGGGCCCTGGGCTGGGACGCAGTGGAGTAGGGTGGGCCCGCGTCCCCCTGCCACCCCACCCTGGGGTGGTTGACTCCCTACACTATGCAGGAAGACTCTAGCCCTGAGGAAGGAGCCTCCCTTACCGGCTCACCCCCATGGACAGTTTGCTGGCTGCCTGAGCTCTGCCCAGACCCAAGCCAGCCCTAATAGACTCTGTATAAGGGCTGACAGCTTGAGCCATCCAAACCCAGGCTAAAGCCTGACAGTGACTAGTGATCGCCCAGCCCTATTGTGGCTCTTGGCTGTCCTGCAGACTCTGGTCCTGGCCAGACAGGACCAACCTGAGTGGCCTCCCTCCGAGTGGGAGAGCGAGGGACCATTACAGCCACTCATTTTCTGACCATCGTGCACCTAAAGTAAATTAGCATTCGCCTCCTACTGCAGTTGGAATTGGTGCAAGGCTTTTTCTGAGTCATTCTATCTTTTTTTTTTTTTTAAATCCAACTTATACCTGTTTTATACTGAGTTGAATGCCGAATTCCTGAAAGTTGTATGCCACTTATACCTGACATGCAACATATACCACCTTCTATATCACCACTGACTTTGGACCAGAGATTTCCCTGGGAGCTGCAGCTGTTATATCACTTCTTGGAGTTGAGGGTATTTATTAGGGCTGTCAATTAACCACAATTAAACATTTTTAATCACACTGTTAAACAATAGAATTCCAGCTGAAATGTATTAAATATTTTGGATGTTTTTCTACATTTTCATATATATATTGTATTCTGTGTAATTGAAATCAAACTATATATTATTATTATTCTAAATATTTGCACTGTAAAAATGATAAACAAACGAAATAGTATTTTTCAATTCACCTCATACAAGTACTGTAGTGCAATCTTTGTCCTGAAAGTGAAATTTACAAATGTAGATTTTTTTGTTTGTTACATAACTGCACTCAAAAACAAAACAATGTTAAACTTCAGAGCCTACAAGTCCACTCAGTCCTACTTCTTGTTCAGCCAATCGCTAAGACAAACAAGTTTGTTTACATTTACAGGAGATAATGGTGCCCTCTTCTTATTTACAATGTCACCAGGAAGTGAGAACAGGCATTTGCATGGCACTTTGGTAGCTGGCATTGCAAGGTCTTTACGTGCCAGATATGCTAAACATTCGTATGCCCCTTCATGCTTCCATGCTGATGACGCTCGTTAAAAAAAATGCATTAATTAAATTTGTGACTGAACTCTTTGGGGGAGAATTGTATGTGCCCTGCTCTGTTTGACCTGCATTCTACCATATATTTCATGTTATAGCGGTCTCAGATGATGATCCAGCACATGTTGTTCATTTTAAGGACACTTTGACAAAACGCAAAGAAGGTACCAGTGTGATATTTCTAAAGATAGCTACAGCACTTGACCCAAGGATTAAGAATCTGAAGTGCCTGCCAAAATCTGAGCGGGATGGGGCGTGGAGCATGCTTTCAGAAGTCTTAAAAGAGCAACACTCTGATGCAGAAACTACAGAACACGAACCACCAAAAAAGAAAATCAACCTTTTGCTGGTGGCATCGGACTCAGATAATGAAAATGCGTCAGTCTGCACTGCTTTGGATTGTTATCGAGCAGAACCAATCATCAGCATGGATGCATGTCCCTTGGAATGGTGGTTGACGCATGAAGGGACATATGAATCTTTAGCGCATCTGGCACATAAATATCTTGCAACACTGGCTACAAGAGTGCCATGAGAATGCCTGTTCTCACTTTCAGATGACACTGTAAACAAGAAGTGGACAGCATTATCTTCTGCAAATGTAAACAAACTTGTTTGAGCAATTGGCTGAACAAAAAGTAGGACTGAGTGGACTTGCAGGCTCTAAAATTTTACATTGTTTTATTTTTGAATGCAGGGGTTTTTTCTACATAATTCTACATTTTGTAAATTCAACTTTCATTATAAAGAGATTGCACTACAGTACTTGTATTCGGTGAATTGAAAAATACTATTTTGTTTTTTTTACAATGCACATATATAAATACAAAGTGAGCACTGTACACTTTGTATTCTGTGTTGTAATTGAAATCCATATATTTGAAAATGTAGAAAACATCCAAAAATATTTAAATAACTGGTATTCTATTATTGCTTAACAGTGTGATTTAATAACGATTAATTTTTTTAATCGCTTGACAGCCCTAGTATTTATAAAGTAGCCATTGCTAGATGTAACTGACAACTTTCTTCACCTTTACATGTCTTTCCATCCTCTTGCAGGATGTAGCCACGGGGACATGAACACTGGTAGCTTCCTTCTGAGTTCTTGCAGATAAAGTTGCATGGTTTTGGAGACTGGGAGCATTCATCAAGATCTAAGTACAAGAATCAGTAATTAGTAAAAATATTCAGTTACTTACAAGAATGCTACTGAACAGCTGCATAAATCTCTAATTTTTCCAAATTATTTTTATAATTCTTTCCATGCTTTCGAATTGTCCTTTTCTTTACAGATGCAAGCTACCAATGAAATAACCTGAGAGGGTGGATAACTGAAGCAACAGTGCATTTGCTTAGAGGATCAGCTAGAACAGTTAAACTAATTTCTAAAGACAAAGCCTCTTACTTTATGATCCCTTTAGTCTTAATTAATGGTAACTTCCTGACATGTCCTTTGGAGCAATTAATTATTAGCCTCTACTCGCCAAAAGCTTATTCCCCAAACCATGATTTGTCTTGTTAGTGGCCAGTTCAGTGGTATCTAAGGTCTGGTCTATACTACCCGCCTGAATCGGCGGGTAGAAATCGACCTCTCGGGGATCGATTTATCGCGTCCCGTCGGGACGCGACAATCGATCCCCGAATCGGCGCTCTAACTCCACCAGGGGAGGTGGTAGTAAGCGCCGCCGACAAAAAGCCGCAGAAGTCGATTTTGCCGCCGTCCTCACAACGGGGTAAGTCGGCTGTGATACGTCGAATTCAGCTACGCTATTCACGTAGCTGAATTTGCGTATCTTAAATCGACTCCCCCCTGTAGTGTAGATGTAGCCTCATTCATGTTGTTGCTGAAATACCACTAGGTTAGCTGAACTGTAATATCCTAAATCAGGTCTCAGAGCTCCCCAAAACTAAATGTGAAGACAAAAATGTATTTTGTGAAGAGAGGAAGAGAGAGAATTTTTGTATTCTGAGGCTTTAAAGAATTTACCTGGGAATTTCACTATGAAAATAAACACTTCATTAAAAAAAAAATCTGTTGGATTAGCAAAAATACTAAGCATTACAGTGATAACCTTACCCACACAGGATGTCCCACTTATTTCAGTGGTGTAGCCAACTTTACAAAAGCATCTGAAGGAACCCATTGTGTTGATGCACTGGCCATTTCTACACAGATTTGGCATGACCTTACATTCATCAATATCTGGAGAGGAAATATAAACAGGTCACCTTTTAAAATATGATAAGGAGAAGCTCATTAGTATCACATTTGAATGTGACATCTACAGTCTAATTGAATCTAGAAACATCTAATTTTTAAAACCAAGCTCATTACCCTCCCCCCTGTTTTTTAATTCTCTCACTTGCCTTTTTTGAGAGCTGATAAAATGATCTTGTTCTCAGTGATAAACTCCAGTTTGCTGACCCTGATGGAATTACAGGACATTGAAACAGTACTGGGTGTATACAGATTCCTTTTTTACCCTAATATTCTACAAACTTTCCCCCCAACATGCTTCTACTACAAACGCCTATTCCTTACTTTGTCATTAGAGATGGGCCCAATCCAATCACCCTTCATATTTTTGTTAAATTCTGTTCTACATCTGGATCTGAACTCTGTAACTTGGTCCAACCTAATTTCTCTTGCTGATGTACTGAGAAACCAAGCTCCAGTTTTACAAACTTAATTTACACAATGTTTATATTTAATAGAAGTGAATTTTCTTTAGATTGGTTTGATTTTCTTTTAACATTCATAAGAATTAAAAACTCATGTTTATGCTTATGATTTCTTTGTAGAAATCTGCAGATCATACAATGAAACTATTGTAGGGGGGGGAGGGATAGCTCAGTGGTTTGAGCATTGGCCTGCTAAACCCAGGGTTGTGAGTTCAATCCTTGAGGGGGCCACTTGGGGATCTGGGGCAAAATCAGTACTTGGTCCTGCTAGTGAAGGCAGGGGGCTGGACTCGATGACCTTTCAAGGTCCCTTCCAGTTCTAGGAGATGGGATATCTCCATTATTTCTTTTCTTTCTTTCTTTCTTTCTATTGTGTAGCTACAGGTTTCAGCTGTTGATGCCTTTTGGCTCATGTATCTATGTTTTGTAGCATGCAACAGCTTCTAGATCGGGGTGGACAATAATTTTCGCAGGGGGGGCCACTCCACGAATTTCGGTAAGTTGTCATGGGCCGCACATTTCTACTATATTAATGGAGGAGGTGCGGGGTCCGGGAGGGAGTTTGGGTGCAGGAGAGGGTGAGGGGTGTGCGCTTTGGGAGGGAGTTTGGTGCAGGAGGTTGGGGTACGGGAGGGGGTGTGAGGTACAGACTCAGGCCAGCGGCTGCAGCCGGCACCTATCTGCGCGCCCTTTGGGGGAGGGAGAGCAGGTCTCCGTGCGCTGCCTGCACCCGCAAGCACAACCTCCAGTTTCCGGCCAATGGGAACTGTGAGGACGGTGCTGGGGGCGGGGGCAGCACACGGAGCCATCTCCTTCCTCCTCCCAGGGGCATGCAGAGACATGTTAGCAGCAGCCTGCTGCTTCCGGGAGTGGCGTGGGGCTATGGAAGGCAGGCAGCCTGCCTGAGCGCCCCGCTGTGCCACAGGACTTTTAGCGGCCTGGATTTGGAGATCACAAGGGGGCAGAGAAGGCCGGACAGAAATGTTAGATGGGCCAGATCCAGGCCGCGGGACATATTTTGCCCACCCCTGTTCTAGACAGCTTTTAGCCTTTCAGTTTTAGTCATTGTTTTAGGACTCAATTCTTGCTTATATGAATATTCCCACAGCAGGCACTAGGTAAGGATTTGTAGGTGCTGCCCATTGAAAAGCATATGAAATAAATTATTGGATGTATAGAAAATACCAAGCTGAGCAATTTTGCAGTAAACTTCAGAAATGCTGGTAACTTCAGCTAAACATCTCAGAGATTTAAGAAAGCATGGTACTTTCTGTGTTATCTTTTGTCTATTTCCTCTCCTCTACCTCTTCACCTGCTCTTCCCACAATTACCTCTTCCATCTGTTGTATATCCTGGTCCATGTGGACAGAGTTTCTTATATTGGGTGGTTCCTGGCAGTGGACAAAGCTCACACTGGTTACCCCAGCCTCGCCCTCCATCACAGCAGCACTCTGACTTGGTGACAAGGTTACGGCTACTGGAAGCCATCTGGCACATTGTCTGTAAAACTTCAGCAAAGCAGAATCCTTGGCGGTTATCTGAAAGGAAAGTGGAGGGGCCAAGAAAGAATGTGAGCTGGATGTGTATTAAACAGGAAGTCTCACTGATACTATTATGGTCCATTATTGTTACATATAAATGCTTTTAAAAGTGAACTAGAAAAAAACTGCTGTGACCCCAGATTTATGTGCTGAGTGACTCTTATAGCAACCAGTCTTTGGGGAGCATTTAGCATATTAATATGGTTTGTCTTACCGTACCCTAAAAATACTTTGATAATCTACTGCTCTTAAAGGGTTGCTAGGACTCCCCCAAGTGAGTCAGTGGTTACATGAGACCTGGTATCGGTTATGTCCCAGAATAATACATCCTGGAGCATCCCCCAGTGAACCTGGCAGAGCAGCCTACTTGTGTGAATGATAAAATAAACTGGCAAAACTTAAGTGTAAACATGGCCTTAGCATGCTAAATATCCCCCAATTAGCATATTTTTTTACACAGAGGATACCAACACTAGTAATAGGTCCAGTATCATTGGCCTGATTTGTTAGTTAAAATGGACTGGATTGCCTCATTGCACGTTATTCTCTGAAAGTAGCTCTTTTACTGGTAAAATTTTTCCTTTCAAAGTAAAAATCAGCTGTATTTTACTAAAAGTGATACACCATAGATCATATTCATTCCTGGATTTTCATTGGCTTGTGGAAGCATAGTATCTCCATCCTACACCTAGGCAGTGTAAGGAAATCCATCAGGAGGGATGTTGAGGAAGCAGAACAAATTTTAACTTGTTCTCTGCTGGGGAACCCCAAAAGACACCGGGCTAAACTGATTCAGATGAGTGGTTTCTGCTGGTGGGGCACTACTTACATCTTACATTTGTTCTGTTAGATACTGTGAGGGAGGACAGGTGACAGCAAATTGCCTGATCGTCCTCTGTGCAAATCTACTGACTAATAGAATCAGCAGGTACAAAGAGCTATAACTTACATTTCCCTGCATAAGTTAGGGTTTTTTTAGGTATGCCTTTATTGTTCCACTTAATTTGAACCACCAGCTAAAATTACACCGTGATATTAAATGGTCTCCTCATTAAAAATATAACCTGTATTGCAGCACCTTTAGAGAGATTAACAAGATCCAATTTGGTTGGAAGAGAATTATTTTCTGTAAGCACAGTGTATCTATTTAGTTAAGAGATGTTCCTGACTTAAAGCTTTCACGTTTCACGGTTTTAAAAAGGAAGCTACAAATATTTATTAAGGAAATTAGGTAACTAACTGTGATATCCCAGCATACATCATGTGGTGACATCATAGCTACCATGAAACATTGCTAGAATGTGGACCTGAATCATGGAGCAGCAGATTTTTAGTGTGGGGTATAGTTTGAAATATAAAGTATTTATATATTTTATTGAATATTACTTCAGTCCTTTAGGGAATTACTTTATAGCCTTTACCTAATGGCCACGTATGCATCCATTGTTTAAAGGAGTAAGGATTTTTTAATTACTTTATGAAAACTGATTTTAATAATTGTAGATATACAGAAAACTTTTCCAGAAACCTGTAAATGACTTATGAGCCTAACTACTGGTGGGTTTCAATGGGATTTAGGCTCCTCAGTCATTTAGGTGCTTTTGAAATTTTTTACCCATGGTCATCTAATTAAATTTACCAAAGACAAGCAATCATTGTACTGTTCCCTCCCCCCCCCTAATTTTATTAGTCCACATTTAGCTATCTTGAAATCTATTGGATTTCAGTCAGTTCAAAATACTGTACAGAAGGCAATAAAGTCAAGTGCAGTTACACTGATTAAAGCCTATGGCTATCAATTTTAATTCTGCTTATGCTTAACTAATTTAAATATCAGTAAAACTTTACACTTGTGACTGAATTTTCCTACTGTGGAGCCATACTCTGAAAATGTCAACAAGATTCACTTTCTTCTATATACTAACTAAGAAATAGCTGAAGTCAACTAAATAGGTATATTGTGCAAGAAATGTTGAAAGCTAGAGCTCATTGAGTACATGCTGACCTGGAGTTCATACAAAGCTTTGATTCATACGTAAGCTAAATGGAACTCTGACACAAGACTGCACAATCTGATCAGCAAATGTATTGGGCTTTAATTCTAAAGAAATACCCAGCACAATGCATTGCAGTGATACCATGACCCTAAAAGCACTGAAGGGAAACAGCACCAAGCAAACTCCCCCAAAATGTAATTTTTGAAAATATCTGTTCATATATTTAGTTCAAAAGAGCAGTGTATTTCCTTGGGACTGATGTTGGGCTGGGATTAATAGCCTGAGCCATCCTCGCTCCATTTGGTCACTAATCTTCAGAAGTGCCCTGCACCTTGAATGTTACTACTCTGTTATGGAATCAACACTCTGTTGATAACAATTTACGTGGAACTGGTTATACAGTAAGTAGGAAAAAATATCACAATCCTTTTTTAATGCAAAAATTCCATTAAATATGGCTACACTTTCACTTGTTGGCATTGTAACATGTTTTTACAATGTACTGTATTACCATGAATATTGCTCCAGAGTAGATCTTGCAGCTGCACTTCATTTGATAATAAAAGAACAACCAGAAAGCAATTACACAGTGCAGAGTGCCAGAATATACTGAATCAGCATGTAATAGTAACTACAAAATCTTTTTCCTAACTTTTTGTAAAATCTGTTTTTTTGGATTCATAATTGGTCACCTAGGTGGGAGATTAAATGCACCCTGCCTCACCTGCAGGACTTGATTCTGGCACTGCAGCTTCAGATGCCGCTCCTGTTTTAAGAAAGATCTGCTGGCTTCTGTGTTTAACTAGGCTTCGGTAACACTAGCTGCCAAGACAGAAATCATCAGCTCTTCTGGCTGATGATCCGTCCATGGTTCTCTTGTAGAAAGCATATCCTGGCAAGGGCTTCCCTCATCTGGTGGTTTTTCTTGGCTCTGACTAGCTAGCCATCCAAGCAGAGATGCACATATGCCTTCCTTTTTCTAGTCTGCTACCAGCACCATCATTTTAATGCCAGGTTGAATGGGAGAGCCTGATAATGTTGTGAACCATACGGATTGCTGGTCTGATGTGTTGGGTTTTGAGCAAAGGTCTCCATATTCTCAATGCAAATTTCAAGTACTTATGGTAATTGGATGCAAATTTAGTGACAGAGGGCTAGTGTCACAAAGGGGTTTAGGCACCTGCTACTTTAGCTGCCCAAATCCAAAAGTCAGATGGAGGGGGGATTAACAATCTAACCTTATAGGCTCCTGAAGTCCCTAGGCATTGTTTCCACTGATAGACACCTCAAGTGCCTACATTTCTGCTGCTGGACATGCACAAAACCACCTGAGTCCTGATGCCTAAGCCCCAGTGGGAGTCACAAACTAGGCATTCCCCTGCCTACCTAATCCTCAAGGCTTGATCCAGTAGGCATGCGGGGGAGGGGGGATGTTCCTGTAAATATTTAAATATTCATTGGCGTAGGGAGTTGAACCCAGGTCTTCCCCCATCTCAGGTGAGATTGAGAAGAGACTCATCCCAGAGTATCCTATAATGACGGCACTCGCCTGGGAGGTGGGGCACCTGGGATCCAAGGCCTTCTCCGCACCATGCAGAACAGGAGTTTGAATCTAGGTCTCTAACATTCTGGTGAGTGCCCTATCTATTGGCAATAATTGACTAAAAGCACCACCACATACCCTCCTCTTCCTCAGGCACCTAAGCCAGGTCAGCCCTAAATCCAGGTGAGAGTTTACAGCTGAAATTCCCAACTGGAGGGAGGCACCACCTGTTTAAGCATCTAACTCTCTTTGAGAGGCAGGGCTTAGGCTACATCCCTCTCATCAGCATATCATATTGGTTAGTTAATGTGGATCCCTGCTCTAACTTTTCCAATGCGTAGTGTAGACAGCCTGGGTGCCTAAGTGAGAGTGGCAGATTCCACTGGGCAGCAGGGTGCCTAAAAGTCAGATGTTGCAGCACCTAGTCTTAGTCCCCTTTGTAGCTAGCCTGAAATCTTCCTGTGTAGGATGGGGAAGCAGGGATATCAGTCCACCTGTTGAACCAGTCATGATGCTGATGGTGATTATGTCGATGCTGAAGATCTGCTCGTAGGTTCAGAACAGGGATTTAAATTATCACTGCAACTACATTTGGATGAAGATGTTTCCCTTGAAAATATTTCACAAGCAGGATCATGAAACCCAGTTTCATTCAGTGGCACATTTACTCTTGAAGAAACTGATTTCCTGCATTTTTTGGGAGGAGCATAAATCCTAATGTCTCAACAATTCTTACAGTTGTAGTTTGCTTTAGAAGAATTATTTCGTTTCATCACTTCAGTTCATTCAATTGCTTCTCCCCCCCCCATCACTTCTTAAAATGTTAAGCATTTTGAATCAGATAAATTCATACACTGATGTCTGGTAATAACCAAAATATTAAACAATAACCAGTTGTTTGCTCTGCTGAATGGTAGCTTTTATGTTTACTAGTTAAAATGAGAAACCCCTTTGTGAATTCAACACTATGAAGACTGAAAAAAATCCAAGATATTATCACATGCCCTGCTATCTTCCAGAAGTTACTAGAGTCTAACAAACTAAGCCCGGCCGGACAGTTAACAACTCTAGTCAAACTCTCCTTTCTTCAGCATGCAGTAACAGCTTCATCAACCACTCCTGCCCCTCTCCCAAGTTATCAGTGACTGCATTCATTTGCCTTCCTCTTCAGGTTATTAGACTATCCTAAAATTGTTTCCAGGTAGGCATAAGATCCTTCAAGTTTGTATTAGCTCCCTTTTAATTGTTTAGAATTTATTTAAAATGTTAATTTACAGACTGAAATTAGAGCCTATGACATATAGAATTTTGCCAGTAACATTTCCTGTTCTTACTTTAAATGTTCATACTATAATAATCTCCATTTAGCAAAACAGTGAGTTAGGAAAAAATTAATCAAAATAGTTACTGAAAAGTAATGATTTGTATTTATTTTTTTACACACAACTGTACAGTATAACAGATCTAACATTCAAATTCTGTAGCAGCAGTATCTGGCTCATAAATGGAATAATTAGAAATATTTTGCTCTTAATGTGAGATTTGTTATTTAACATTAGCATCAGCCTCGCTTACCCTATATGCAAACTTTTTTCCTTCAGCATGAAACCACCATTTTTCCTGGCTATGTTAATTATTTTTCCCAGAAATAAAATAAATCATTGTTTTCTCTTTGAAAACTCAATTTATCTTAATCCTGAAAAACAGATCAAGGATTGTGATTTAATCTATTATACACACAGCCAAGAGACATGTGAAGTACTCGGGGTCTGCATTATTGGTAGAAATCTTAGCAAGCAGCAAGCATAAAATATTTTTTATTTAAATATTATTGCACAGCGTTTATACTTTTTCATGTAACGGGAAATGTATGCCAAGGAAATCAACTTACCAAGGCACTCAGTGCCTGATGGGCTTGACTGGAATCCTTCATTACATTCACACCTGTAGCTTCCAATAATGTTCACACAGCGACCATTTTCACAGATACCTGGCTTGGTACGGCATTCATTTTCATCTTTACAAAAATATCACACATACACACACAATAAATATGATTTAAAACTTATCTGAATTGACAGACTAAAAACTGTCAGTTATTTACTCAGCAGGCAAAGAAAATTCAAACATTTTGGTAACTAATATATTTGTATGCGGTGGCCAAAAGACAGCTGAGTAAGCCTCCAAAAGCTGATGTTCACTCTTCTGTTGAGAACTCAGCACATTATGTGCTTTGAAGAAGGTATGGAAAAATATAGCAACTTAGAAAGATAAACCTTGTCAATTTCCTACCAATTATAGTAAGTTTTAAATGAATCATGGCATAAGCTCACTGCACTACAACTTTGTCCAGCAATTAGCATTAAAATGAAATTTTATACACTAATGAAGTCATTCAAAATAAAATAGTGTGAGCCATTAAGAAACAGAAAATTAATAGTTAAAGAGTATGTCACATGACCACAATTCTATAAAGTGTGCCTGTTCAGGAGGGGCACCTAAGCACATGCTTAAGTCCCACTGAAGTCCGTAAGAACTAAGTATGCTTAGGTGCCTTTCCTGAAATAGGGTTTATAATCCCTAAGTGCCGGCTCCTTCTTTTTCCCATATTAGCTTGCAAAAAACAAATTGATACAGTAATTTCCATAGGTGCTTAAAAGAAGAACACTGGAAGGTTTGGCTGCTCAAGGCAAAAACAGAGGTAGGTTTGAATCCAACAGCTGTCTCTCGCATAAAGGCACAATTCTTGATTTCTTACTAGCAAATAGACTGATATACTTTATGATTAAAGAAGACTGTTTTCCTTGAATGCACAATAAAATAATAATTCTGTAAGGAGAGACTCTGCTGCTGAGGGAAGGTTATTACTGTTCTCTTGAACACATTCACCAGGATGTCTGTTGAAGAGAACTAAAGATTATTTTTTTAAACTTGGAGATAAATTCCAGTACTTTTTGTCAATACAGAAAGCTTCAGAATGGGCAATGGATTTGTGACACTGCAAGGGAAAAATTCTGATTCCACACACAGCAGCACTTGGCAAGATCTATCCATTTTTCCCTCTAAACAAATTACAGTAATGGTCAAGGGAAACTGTTTGCCTATTCATCTTAAGAGGAGAGAATTATTCTGAATTTTGGTGGTTTTTAATTTCTATGAATTCTTTGCTGCTGATGGCTGGAGTAAAATGTTCATATTTTGCTCTAGATCGTTACCCCTTAACTCTGAAAAAGCTGGATACATAAATATAATTTGTCTACTATTAATACAGACTTTTGCAAATATATCATTTATTTACCTACAATAATTCTTCTACTTTTATTATTCATATTTAAAGAACAATCAAAAGAGATGCCTTTTGGCTAGCTAATTAAGGCTTTAATGGGTAGTCACAGTAATTTTAAGACTTAATTCTTACAAACCTGTGCACCGAAAGCAAAGGTAGGCCACACAGAAAAAGAAACAAATATAGACCTAAGGCCCTAACTGTTATTTATGATAAGTAGTCCTGAGTTCACTGGGACTTCTTGTGTAAGAATTACTCACTGTAAAGATTAGAGAATCAAGCCCTAAAACAAGAAAAGACTGGATGGAACGGAGTTAGAGTAGACTTGTCAAGTGGAAAGTTCAAGAGGCCTTATGTCTCCATCCCCATGAACAGATGTTTGGGTATATGTAGCTGAGCACAGATGCAATGTTGTGTTTTTGTCCCTACATAATATTGCAGATGCAATTCTGAGGAGTTGTGCCTCTAATTACTTTATCTAAACCCACAGTCAAGTAGCAAAGGGTGTAATTAATTAGCACCTAGCTGCCATTTATGAGTTTGGCGGTCTCCCCGTTAGCCT